TGACTTATTAGGGGAAAATTAACAATTAAAAATCAGTGATCATTTTTTTGAGAAAAATTGACTGGAAACCCACAAAAAAAAATCTTTGGTTAAGGTAGTTGTCGCTATTGAACCTTCGGCCACGTCCACAACATTTCTCTTTCCCACATCTCCGATTTTTTATACAAGCATAAAATTTGAAGCAAAATCATTAATTGGTATGTTTACAGAAAGCCAGAAAGAATACCAGTGCACATGCACAGGGTCGGAAATCGCCAGAAACAACAACTTTTATCGCCTCCATTGTGGTCATGTGTTTTGTCGCACATGCTTGAACCAGTGCATCAAAAGTAGCATCAACAATGCACAGCTTCTCATCGAGTGCCCGATCGATGCTTGCAAGAAGTTCATCACCCCAGCAGAACTAATAGTTTGTATCAAAAAATAATTCAAATTAAAATATAGTTTTCAATTCTAGGATCTGGTTCTCGGAGACGATAGGCGACTCAAGGATATTGATGCGGAAAAACTAAGCATCCTGGGGAACAAAACGAAAGATGCCGTCGTCGCAGCAAATCCAGAGTTGAAAAACTGCATCACAGCCGATTGCATTGGCATATACTCCAAGGAACAAGGAGACACCAAGATTCTCAAAAGATGCACCGCTTGCCGTCGTTCCTATTGCCGTCAGTGCCTTTCTGGAGCTCATGAAAGAAGAACATGTGAGAAAGCCCTGCGTGCCCAAATTCCAGAAGAATCTCTCAAAATGTGGATACATGAGGCTGGAGATCGAGTGAAGCATTGTCCAATCAAAGAATGCAGCTGGATGATGGAAAAGGGAGAAGGATGCAACCATATGCAATGCCCGAAATGCTCTATCCATTTCTGTTGGATCTGTGGATTCACTTCTGAAGAACAGGGACCTATTTACGGTCACATGATGAGTGATCATGAAGATATTGGGTTAGAAAATTATGTGAGTTTTTAATTGATTGTGACCACATATGCCAACTATGCTTTTAGAAAAAAAGGGGTCAGCAATTTAGAAAGAATAAAAACTCGAATATATTATTCTGGTACAAAAAAATAGGAGCTGTGAATGAGGAAAGCTTGTGGGCTTGGCTAATAT